GCCGCTCCGTGACTAGGGTCTCGAGATATCGGCCAAAATGTGGACCCCGATAACTTAAGGATGTGTTTGTACAATATGGGTAGCAAATGGGAGCTGTTGATGATTGCTATAGTATAGAGTATTTTTAATGCCCCTCCGTAACTAGGGTCTCGAGATATAGACCAAGACGTGGACCTGGATAACCCTAGGATGTGTTTGAACCACATGAGTATCCATTGTAAGTTGTTGATAAATGCTAATGAAAAGAGGACTTTTCTTTTCGCTGGGTAACTAAGGACTCCAGATATAGACCAATTGGGAACTCGCCTTCAGGTTAAGAGATTGCATTCTTATGTACTACAACCAGTTAAAATGGTATATTCAATCACATAACAATATAATCTTTTTACCTGAAGGCGAGTTCCCAATTGCAAAATCAGAAACAGAGAATCGGCCGTTGGAATGTATCAAACAACTTTTTTATTGTACTTACCTTTCTACTTCCACTCATTTCGATGTAAGAATAAGCACAAAGTATTTTTATTTGAGAATGGCACATTTTGTTCGTGCTTACATTTTGTGTGAAGAGATATGTGCACGTAGACAAAAATATTAATCAGCATGTTAAAAACAAATCAAAACAAACACCTCATTACTTATTTCCTTCATGGTAAACGTTTCAAAAATTTCACCACACATATGTTACATATTTTTTTTTATTTAACTCGTACTTACTTGAAAAGCTGAAAAGCGCTCAATGTATGGTGAAATTATTTTTAAAAACACACCAAAAACCCATTTGTTTGGTCAGATTCATCCCACTTAGCCAGCGGATTATACGTTTTCATATTAACATACATACATCAATAATAGTTTAATCATTTACTAAACGATTTGTTACCTACTTAGCTACGCTCTTTCGCTCTCAAAATTTATGAACTTTCGTCTTAACTACCATACTTATTATTCCCACCTACAAACTTACTTGCATTATATTTATATCAACATGTAGGTATGTATGTAGCAGGCAGATCGACAAACAAAGTAGGCTTTGAAAAGACATCGAACTATATAACGGTGCATTTATTTTGCATAGAGAAATACATGAATATTTTGTACCACCTACAAACTTACTTGCATTAGGGCTATTCGCGATTCGGTGCATAAGAGCTGACAAATTTATGCAATTGCAGAAATATGCCATGGATTGTGAGCGACCTTTATTAAACTGTCATGGTAAAGCTTTTGCAAAACAATTTTTGTGCATCAGCTTTGGTTTTGTTAATGAATGCAATGCATAGCATATTTATGCTATGGATTTTCGGTATTGCAAATTTGCCAAGCCATGACAAATGCAAATGCGTGTATTTTGTTTGTGTATTGCAAATAATTTGCAATACAATTATATTTATATCAACATGTAGGTATGTATGTAGCAGGCAGATAAACAAAAAAAAGTAGGCTTTGAAAAGACATCGAACTATATTACGGTGCATTTATTTTGCATAGAGAAATACATGAATATTTTGTATAGATAGGTATATAGAGCTTTGACTCTTAGCATTAAGAAAATTCAAATTAGGAGAATATATCACATTGGAGTGTAAACATCGCTGGAGCGTTTTTTTTGGCCCCATACGTTCAGTAGTGTCCGAAATTACCGCGGTGCAAAATTATTAGTTATTATAGTGTTTTTTTTTAATAATTATTGAAGTTTGTGTGAATTTGTGAAAAGAAGAAATATAGCGCAAAGCGAATTTCCGAGCAAAAAACGGTAAGTTTTGAACTGTTGAAGTGAATTACACGAATGCATGTGTTTCCTTATTTGAAAAAACATATGGTGTACCACTATTAATGTAGGCATTTTTTTAAATTTAATTTATTCTTTTTTAATTGAAAGAAAAATGCCACGACCCACACGAGGAAATATAGGTCGGCGAACGCGTCATGCAAATGCTACGGCATTACAAAGGCGATCACAGACTCCAGATGAACGAGCACAAGCTAATGCATCGCAGCGTGAACGTAATGCACGAAATAGATCTGTTGTACCTGAAATTATGCGTGCTGCTTTTAATTACAACAGTCAGATTAATTACAGTATGTACGGATATATTGGAATAATGGACGCAATATGTCCACATTGTGATGCGGCTAAATTTCCAGGTGAAACGCCCGGCATGTGTTGTGCTAATGGCAAAGTGAGATTGCCACCATTAGAAACTCCACCCGAACCATTGTCTTCATTAATTTTTGGGACTTCTGAAAATTCGAAGCACTTTTTGAGTCATATTCAACAATACAATTCGGCATTTCAAATGACTTCTTTTGGTGCTACTAACATTATTAGAGATAATTTTATGCCGACGTTTAAGGTAAATACTTAAACAGGAACAATCCCAATCAATCTGAATCATAAAAGTATTCTATAGTTTTAAAAATTATTATGCAACATATACCTAAAATTGCATACATGTTGCAGATTCAGGGCCAAATTTATCATCAAGCTGGTTCGTTATTGCCATACCCCGACGCTGATTATCAATTTTTACAAATTTATTTTATTGGTGATGAAAATCGTGAATTGGATCAACGTTGTGCAATTGCTTTGAATACAAGACGAGAAATTATTTGTGAGCTACAAAGGTTTTTCCATCAGCATAACGCATTAGTTCAATTGTTCAAAATTGCTCTCGATCGTATGCCATCTGATAATCACAAAATCGTAATAAGGGCTGATAGAACACCTTTTGGAGAGCATGAAAGGCGATTCAATGCACCGACAATAGATGAGGTTGCAATTGTAATTCGTGGTGATCAGTTTCAATCGCGTGATATTATACTTCATCGTAGAAATGAGCAATTGCAACGTGTTTCGGAACTTCATCGTAGTTACGACGCATTACAATACCCAATATTGCATTGGAAAGGTGACGATGGCTACCATATCAATATACCAATGATTGATCCACGAACAGGTAAATAATATTTTCAGTGTGTTGACATTTCATCATTTGTAGAAATTTCTTAAGTCACATTTTCCACTTATTTTCAGGTCTACATTTACAGAAAAAAGTTAGTGCCATGAATTTTTATTCTTATCGATTGATGGTTCGTCCACAAGAACAAAATTATATCTTGAGATGTCGTAAACTATATCATCAGTACATCGTTGATATGTACGCCAAAATAGAAACAGAACGTCTTAATTTTATTCGTTTCAACCAAGCAAAATTAAGATCTGAACAATATATTCATTTGCAAGATGCGATAGCGAATGATGCTAATATTAATGACATCGGACGTTTAACTATATTGCCATCTTCGTATATTGGTAGCCCACGGAATATGAACGAATATGCACAAGACGCAATGTGTTATGTACGAAAATACGGTCGACCGGATCTGTTCATTACATTTACATGTAATCCGCAGTGGGATGACATCAAAAACAATTTATTTGCAGGACAGTCGACAACCGATCGTCATGACATTACTGCGCGTGTTTTTCGGCAAAAATGTAAAGCACTTATGGATTTAATTGTGAAATTATATGTATTTGGGGAGGTGCGTTGCCATATGTACTCCATCGAATGGCAGAAAAGGGGATTGCCGCACGCACATATACTAATTTGGCTGGTACATAAAATAACTCCGGATCAAATCGATAACCTTATATCAGCTGAAATTCCTAATCACACTGCTGATCCTGAGTTATTTCAAGTTGTCGTTAAAAACATGATACATGGACCGTGCGGTGAACTAAATGTGAATTCACCATGTATGATTGATGAAAAGTGTTCGAAACGATACCCAAGGCAATTCACTTCAGACACAATAACGGGCAATGACGGATATCCGTTGTATCGACGTAGATCACCTAATGATAATGGCAAAACGGCAACCATTAGAATGCATAACCAGGAAGTTGAAGTTGATAATCGTTGGGTGGTTCCGTATTGTCCATTATTATCGAAAATATTCAACGCTCATATAAATGTGGAATATTGTAATTCTGTCAAATCCATTAAATATATTTGCAAGTATGTAAATAAAGGGAGCGATATGGCTATTTTCGGTGTTGCTGGTGATAATAGAAATGATGAAATTACTCAGTATCAAATGGGTCGCTATATTAGTAGCAATGAAGCTGTCTGGAGGATTATGTCGTTTCCAATGCACGAAAGACATCCTGCGGTTGTTCACTTGGCTGTACATCTTGAGAATGGCCAACGTGTTTATTTTAATGTAGCAAATTTATTGGAAAGAGCAGCGCAACCACCAGCAACTACGTTAACAGCTTTTTTCAAATTATGCGAAACTGATACATTTGCGATAACTTTGTTATATTCTGAAGTGCCTCAGTATTACACATGGAATGTGTCTTCGAAAAAATTTCAAAGACGTAAACAAGGAACAGCAGTTCATGGGCATCCTGGCATTTTCCAAACAGATGCAATTGGCAGAATATATACAGTACATCCAAACAATGTTGAGTGTTTTTATTTGAGATTGTTATTAGTTAACGTGAATGGCCCAAAATCATTTCAAGAATTGAGAACAGTCAACGGTTATTTGTGTGAAACATACCGTGAAGCATGCCAACTTTTGCATTTGTTGGAGGATGATGCACATTGGGATTCAACACTTCATGATGCATCTATTTCGGCTCATCCTCAACAAATACGAATGCTGTTTGCCGTTATATTATCAACATGTATGCCATCAAATCCACTTGAATTATGGAACAAATATAAACATAATATTGCAGAAGATATTTTAATTCGTATGCGTCATCATGCAAGAAATCCTGATTTGTTGATAACTTTGGAAATGTACAACGAAGCTTTGATAATAATTGAAGATATGTGTCTACGGATTGCAAATAAAACATTAGTACAATTGGGTATGACCGCACCAAATCGTGACATGCATGATCTGTTTGATCGTGAATTGCAACGTGAGCAGGAATTCAATTCTAATGATTTGCGTTTATTTGTACAATCGAATATAACCAAAATGAATATTCAGCAAAAACATGTATATGACACAATCATGCAAGCCATTTCCAATAATGTAGGTGGGTTATATTTCTTGGATGCACCTGGTGGTACAGGCAAAACGTTCGTTATATCACTGATTTTAGCCACTATTCGATCGGAACAGAAAATTGCATTGGCACTTGCATCTTCGGGAATTGCTGCTACATTATTAGAAGGTGGTCGGACAGCACACTCTGCATTAAAATTGCCATTGAATGTACAGGTGATTGAAACTCCAACTTGCAATATTTCAAGAAATTCTGCTATGGCAAAAGTTCTGCGATTAACGTCAATTATTTTATGGGATGAGTGTACAATGGCGAATAAAAAATTACTAGAAGCATTTAATCGAACAATGCAAGATTTACGTGGTAACCAACAGCTTTTTGGTGGTGCTTTGATATTACTGTCAGGGGATTTTCGACAAACATTGCCTGTCATTCCTCGGTCAACTCCTGCTGATGAAATAAATGCCTGTTTGAAGTCATCAGTTCTTTGGAGATATGTACAAAAATTGACACTGAATATTAATATGCGTATTCACCTACAAAATGATCCAGCTGCCCATGAGTTTTCAAAACAATTGTTACAAATTGGTGATGGCAAAATACAAATCGACAGAACCAACGGATTGATCACTGTACCGAACAATTTTTGTACAATTACGAAATCGATTGATGAATTGATTGAATGTGTTTTTCCAAATATTCTTCAGAATTACAGAAATCATGATTGGTTGAGAGAACGCGCCATTTTAGCACCGAAGAACATTCATATCAATGCCATTAATTTTCAAATTCAAGCAAAACTCCCAGGTGTAGTCACGACATATAAATCAATTGACAGTGCTATGAATCAAGATGAGGCAATGAATTATCCAACTGAATTTTTAAATTCATTAGAACCGGCTGGTATGCCACCGCATTGCTTGAATCTGAAAGTGGGTTCTTTGATTATATTATTGCGAAATATTAATCCACCAAAACTGTGTAATGGCACCAGATTGGCAGTGAAAAATTTATTGCCAAATTTGATTGAAGCTACGATCTTAACTGGTAAATCAAAAGGAGAAGTTTGTTTAATACCGCGTATCCCTATGATTCCAACTGATATGCCATTTGAATTCAAACGATTACAATATCCTGTGCGTTTATCATTTGCGATGTCCATCAACAAAGCTCAAGGGCAAACACTTAACGTTTGTGGTGTGAATTTGGAGGAATCATGTTTTTCACATGGCCAACTTTATGTTGCCTGTTCCAGAGTCGGTACCCCCAGCCGTTTGTTTATTCATGCTCAAAATGGAAAAACAAAAAATATTGTTTATCCAAATGTTTTGGATTAAGTTTTAAAATAGCTAGCAAATAATTAAATATATTTCTTTTTTTTATAAATGAGTTTGATTTAATATTTCACTTTATACGTAGCGAAGCACGTACCGGGCCGCTAGTATATAATATATGTAATAACAGTTTGATCTTGGAAGTCCAGTAAAGTGTAAATACATCCCGTTCTAACTTGGCTTTAGTAAGGTTTTAATGCTGTATTTATGTAGCTTTTGCTGCGAGCTAGGGGAATGCTTTTGTATCACTTTGGCTAATGGGATATGAGCAAAAAATTAAGACATTAACCGAAAATTCGATTGAGACAATTACAATAGAGTTTTGAATTGACACACCAAATTTTGTTCGGTTCAAGACACTATATCATACAGCCGCCTTATAACCAACCTGACCGACTTATATCAATTTCGCTGTTTTCGAAGCTATCGACTTGGAGTTCGGTGTCCGCAACACGGAGTTGACATTTCAAATTTTGTTCGGTTCATGGTATAGCCGCTCTATAATCGAACTGAATAACTTGCATACACTTCGTTATTTTAAATTTGTTTTTTTCATAAATGAACAAAGCGGTAAAGGAAATTTATTTATGATTATCATCATCATTAATATTAATAATAATATTAAATACGGCAAATGAAAGCCAATGAAATTCTCCATAAACCGTATATACATCACTTTCCGATAGGGCTTATAGTTTCTGACAAATTAATTAATAATTCCAGCTTTTTTTATTTTTTAATGAAAAAATTGCTACTAGTTTTTTTCTGGATAGTGTATAAAAATCGCAACTATTGTGACTTCCAATCAGCTGGCTTTGAAAGCACGCTAACAAAACACCATTGCTACTAATCGGGTATTTAGATTTGGGAAGTGGATTAAATTCTAAAATACAAAGCCAAACAAAAAACTGGACTTTATGCAAACGAACTAAATTTTTTGCCTATTGTGCAATGATAGGCTTCCTCAGCACTTGTCCAATCGCTGTCTACTATTTCTTTATGACTGACCCCCTGCAGATAGCGATTCGTTTACACATTGGTGTGAATGTTATCTTCTGCTTTGCAGTACACAGAGTGAGTTGACTGACCATCGTAGCAGCTGCTGCCTTAATGGCTACATGAGTGCCACGAAAAAAATGTTGCACGAGATTTTGGAGTAAGTTCAGTCGTCGACTGAGGTACAAGTACCATGCGTGTAGTATGTTGACTTTGGAAACTCTTAATGGTACGCGGTATGGTGGCCTGCACACATGTTGAAGTTCAGTGGATGCAGGTTCAGTATATTTTTCATCTTAGCTGTGGGTGCTACAGTTATGAATAAATTAGCAAGTTTCGGTACACTTCCAAAATTCTGGTTTACACGAACTTATTTCGTGCGGTTCATACATACCAGTAGAAGAGTGTGGGTTCTGTTCCGTCACATCACACTTTTTTACAAGGGGTTAAAATTTCTTCTTTTTGGGAAAAAAATGCAATAATTTTTCATAAAATCTCGACTTAGTAACTTTTCACTCTAAGCTTGAAAATTATTGTTACCAACAATGAAAACGCATACCAAATTTTTAGTGATGACTCTAAACAAAAATTTGGAATTTTTTACTGCTTCTTATGGTAAATATTGTTCTTCCTTGAACGCCGGCAAGCTGGCCTTGTCGTTTGAAAAGCCAAACATTACAAATTTTACATTTTGATAGCCTATGCAGTTGTTGTTGCAGCCATTAAACTTTAGGCTATGCGAGCTTCCGGCAAATGATTGTGTTCCTCAACTTTAATGCTTGTTAACGAACATACAGTGGTTGAAGAAATAATATAATCTTTTTATTTTGACCAGTTTTGGGCTACATTTCTTCTGTTTATTCAATGTTTCATATAAGAAAAAAAAAAATCAGAAAATTTTACCAAAATCCCCACAAAATTTTCAAACTTTTTATTCAGAAGTGCAAATTTCAAGACACTCGAAAGCCGGGTTGATTTTTAATAATTGTTTTTCCATATAAACTATGCTCGATATTGCTCAAAATGAATTTTTATATGGAAGAAAATACGTTAGACTTTTATAAAAATATATTAAATATCGAATTAACAAAAGAAATATAGCCAAAACTGGTCCAAATAAAAAGTTTCCATTATTTCTTCCACCACTGTATGTTTGTATGTATTAGTTTTCAAATTGCAGTAAATTAATTGTTTACCTTGCAGCCAACTTCCCAAAGTATACATGGCAGTAAACGGTAAAGCTATTTGAATGAAAGGGGACAGCAAAAATATTTCCACATTTTAGATAGCAGCGTTTTATGGCAACTTCACTGGGAGGCATGGGCGGCTTATTAGAGGAAGTTATATATGCAGTTAGTTAATTTGTTGGCACAACAGAAGCAAGGGATACCGCAAACTATATAGATATAAGATCTTTTGTATCCTTTAGATAAGTTTGTAACCCTGCGGTGCTAGTTACTACGAGCCTCCTAAATGCTAGCAGTGACTTAGTAGATTTCTACCTGATGCAAAGGGGTTTGACTGTGAAAGAATTTAGCCTTAGTCTGGCCAAAGTGCGGGGCAATAACACATACTTAATGCACTCCCAAGTATCCTTTTCTTCAAGACCTCGTTCACTTCAATACCGCAGAATACTGGTATCGGGCACAGTGCTACCGGACTATGGACTTTCAAATCAAATCATCTTAGTGACAGATAACTTAAAACCTATGCCTATGAAATGCATTTCAAGATTTATTATGGAACAGGTTGAGCTTGAGTCATGTGCACATTGCAATGGAAAGTTTTGTGCTGGGTCCATAGACACCCTGAATATATCTGGGGTTAATTGAGAAGATTTCTCCTGGGGAACTAAGCTCTCCAAAACCGGCACCGACATAATGAACTCGATCGCCTCGCCTGGCGCCACTGCTTCGAGTTGCCTGCGCGACTGCAATCTTACGTGCCTCGTCTGGCACCCAAACAAATCAAACTGGTGCTCCACAAATCAAATTTCGTTTCCTTTTTTTCATCACAATCACTTGTAAATGCTCACATCTGGGATGTTTCCCTATTCAATGCACAATTGGTTCTACCGCGGCGCGCAGCTAAGAGAGGCCTCAGTGACGGCGTTGTTAGTGCCGGATCAAGTGACGCTGTCCCGTTAATTCTGAAAACGAATTGGGTGCATTCGCGGTCGCCACCACGGTGCACACAAACAAACACCACCGACAATCAGCTGCTTTGCTTTTCAAACTGAGCTTTAATTATTACAATTAGTTGCCGGTAAAGTTCGCTCCTATTGTTTGGAGTGAAGGGAGATAAGGGTAAAATACAACTTTATTGCGGTCAGTGCACGACAATGGAAACAGACTCATTGATACTTCTCAATCTAGGCAACCTATATAATTTCCAGAAAGATAGGAATCGACCGGCAAATATACTTGAAGCTGATGTTTAAAAGTTTTAATGTTGTGGTTTGTAAAGTTGTGAACTTGCTTCCCTAGGAGTCCCGTCCCATTAGAAGACTTCTTCGATGGAATATGTATTATGTAGACGGAAAGCGCCGGGCCATGTTTGCATTTGTGTCACATTGTTGCTCATAATTTTTGCTTCCTAACAAGGAAAAGCCTTTAAGAAATATGTAGGTTTAAATAAGGGTGTTATAACTAATTAAATTAATTGCGGACCCATATTAGGTTTCTAAACAAAAATTACAATTCTTGTTCTTATGTTAATTTTCATTATATGCATGTATTTTATTGCTTGCATTGTTTTTTTTTTGTTGATCTTAACACAGTTTCATTTCGTACTTTGCTGAGGGATAACAAAATCCATTAGCGCATCCCATCAAATATTTAAACTCACCACCAACGCAATTAAAAGTAAAAAAGGAATAATTTTATTTTAGGTGGGCAATGGAAAAAGTAGGTTATTATGTATACCGTTAAGTATACGTACTAGAGACCTGCATGAATTCATTCAAACTACTAGCCAAACAGATATCAGTAGAATTGAACATTTTACTTCATATACAAAACAAAATTTCCCTACAATTCAGAATAATTTGAAAAAATGGTTTGCAGGGTTTATATAAAAAATTGTAATTTATTTTAATTCAATTTATTTTCCCTTTGCTTGTATATTGTAATGTCGATACATATATCAGAAAAGATTCACTATAATTCAAAAAAAAAAAAAATAAAAATTTAAGTCAAAATCATTCATTCGTTTTGTATATCGATGGCTGAGTGGAAGATCGACCTATCTCGGCAGCCAGTT